ATTAATATTTTAGCAGAAATGTCACAGAATTAAGCGAAAGAATTAATTTTATTATCTAGGTAGGATTAAAAAAATGAATTTTCTTAAAACAAGTCAAATAATCTTAACAATATTCAGTCTTACTAAGAAAAAACATTGAAAAACAAGCATAATAAGACCAGAATACTTAATTCAAGTTTATTACACTTGTATAGATTTTCCTTTTTTACAGTGTAGAAGTATAAATCCTGCTGTTTAAAAGGACTTTTGTAAAAGATAGAGGATCAAATTAAGAGTTTTAAGCAACCAAAAGTGTAAAAGTACCATTTTTTTAAAAAGTGTAAAAGTAATGCAGGAAAACTGTTAAGGCCACAAGCTTTACTGCACTACCCGATTAAAGGAATTTTCTACGATTCTGGGTGAAAACTTCCTTAGACTTAATTTTCTTAGTTTTATATCTTATGGTAAAAGTGTTAAATTTAACTTTGCATCATTTGGAAAAACTATTTCTTTTGGTATGAGGTGAACAACAGGTTGGGGCAGCACCGAGTCCAACCCCAAAGAAATGAATTGTCTGGATGAAACTATTTTTCTAAATACCAACAGGCGAATAATCCCGCTTTACAGGGGAACAGAAGACCTCCCCTATTCAGCCAGGCCAACTATTCCCTCTAACGACCCCCCTTTCAGAGACATAGACAGGTATGGGGCATTGCAGGCCAACTATTCCCTCTAACGACCCCCCTTTCAGAGACATAGACAGGTATGGGGCATTGCAGGCTAACTAAGAAGCCAAACGACCCCCATTCCAAAGTCGACTTCACGCTATTTCTGATATTTTGAATTGAAAAAGCTTCCTGGATGGGAAACAAAACGTCTTTAAACTTGGAAACTGTCAGATCTAAGCACCTAAAACATCATACATACATACAGGGAAAGAAAGAAAGCACAGAGACAATTAATTTAGTTACTCGCGAGGAGAATAGGAAGGACACTGCGGAGTTTACAATCTCCACCCCACTCTCCAGTCTTCAGCTTTCTGCTCGCCATTTATTGAAGTCAGGGGCTGTCCCTAATTACACCAGCTGAGGTTTAACTAAAGGGGAACGTAAACACAATGATCTTACTCTAAACCTCAGCACATAC